GTCAGAAGCACAGCTAGGGAAAATGTCTCCAAGGCGGATCTGAAACACATGAAAGATTATTAGAGCACAACGGTTTTTCTTTGTTGCACTTTTCTCTATTACACACACATGAGCAGCACCAGCTACTCACTCAATCAGCGGAGCTCCATAGAGAACCACCACAGTGTGGAAGAACAGGCATGACAGGAAAAAGTACAGACAGGAACGAAACAACCTGGACAGCTGCAGAAAGAGACGGATGAAGACAGTTAAAGGTAAATCACGTAAAAAACAAAACAAAAACGTTAAAGAGTAAAAGCTAGAGCCTTTGATATTAAGGTATGAATGTTTCTTGGGCTTGAAAAGTTATCTCCCTGCAGAGTCTTGGAAAGTAGCTAAAAGTGCAGGTTCATTCAGGTTCAGTGGGTAATAAGTTGGTAAATTTCAAAGAGTCAAGTATTTGCAAGCAAACATTAATCTCTTTACAAATAAAATAAAAATAAAAGTGATTAGGTTTATCTAAAATGTTTGCACAATACTCTGTGTACCTGCAAAACACGTATTGTTTGCTTCCTTCAGTCTCTTAACAGAAATAGAAGTTTAAATAAATAAAACATACGATGAGAGAAGCATTTCCATTTTAAATGTCAAACAGGCTAAACAAGATTAAAATGATCCAAATTTATAATTTTACAAAAACTGAATATGGCATAATCAAACACTATCTGACTGAGCTAACAATGTATTGGAATAATGCTGGATATCTGTTGTATTTCCACAATATACAAGTAAATATTTACTTTACGTTTTGTTTGTGGCTCACTGGATGGCTTTTTGCTACAATATTTTACTTTTCATAATGTATAATTAGTAATGTATGCTGTATGCAGCTCCGTGGCTGAGAACGCTGAGCTGTCTCTGTAATTCTGCGTCTTCTTCATTGTGAATTGTGATTGGTGGTTCACATCTCCCCAGCTGGCATATTAAAGAAATGCATTGGAACCTGATCTCAGACATAAAGTATGAGTTGTGAAGTGGCAGACGCCTACGTTTGTGTGAATTGAAGCCAGACATTTTCCCCCCAATAAATTTCTGCTTTTCTTTGCCTCATTTATAGATTTTTAAAAATACTATCGGTTGAAAACCACAGAAAATGTTAATTACATATCATAATAGCTTTCAGTCTAGCAGTCTTTCATGACTGACAGTAGTTTAACTGAAACACGTTCAGCAGTGGTGGAAAGTAACCAAGTACACTACTTCTGTTTTGTGTAGTTAAGTAAAGTTGTTTCTTTTCAAATTAGGATATTATATAAACAACATAAGATGCTTATAAAATACAATACATTGTTAAAGATATTTGGCTTCTTCCATAAACTAAAACTAATTTAAATAACCTGTTGGAGCACTAGAGACAAAGAGAAAAGCCCAAAAAGGAATACACGTTTGTGTTACAGAACATTTTTCTTCTTTCCCACCTCATTCGACTCTTGATATTTTTCTTGAAGCAACATTCAGTTTTTGCAACAAAAACTTGAGATCTGCTCCAACTCTCCATTCTTTTAATCCAGGGTTCAAGACTTTTCTGTTTGCCACTGCCTTTTATTACAGCAAATGTGGAATTGCCTATTCATATTTTGCAGTGCGCTGTAACAATTCTCCTGTTTTATTCTACATTAGCTTACTTTTATCTTTTATTATATTTTTATCTTTGCCATGAGTTGCTTTTTATGTATGTAATGCACTTTAAATTGCCTTGTTGTTAAAGGGGTCCATACAAATAAACATGACTTGCCCTTGTCTTGTGACCCCTAGGTAGGGAACCACAGGATTAAACTGTCCAACTGCACATAAAGTAGTTAAAACAAGCTAAACCTCATCCAGCTTCAACAATAAAATGCAACAAACTACAATTACATTTATTTTAGCATTCAACAGTTCAGACACAATTAGTTCTCCAATACGACCACAAGTCAGCACCTTGTATCCCAGTGTGTGCTTCTTGGTGGGCGGTGTGATGCCGAGCAGCCAGAAGACTGCGACGCTGACTACAGTGACCGCACCGGACGCCGAGTAGAGCCACAGCAGGTGCGTGCCGTACACCGAGAAGCCGGGCACGAGCACCGCAGGTAGAACGGTGGCCATGAACACCGAGGCGGCGATGATGGCGTGAGTGGACGCCATGGCTCTGATTTCATGGTCCCACATGATGGAGACCGTACCTATCTACAACAGGAGACTAAGACACGAGACAAAACTCACATAAAATACGTTAAAATGTTCATTTAGAAACGAGTAGGTTAACTCCATGAATGAGTTTCCCGACCTGTCTTCCGTAAACATGGCGTAACGTGGACTTCCGCTTGGATTTCACTATAAAAGTCAAATTGTTTCCTTATGCTTGCTTGCAGATTCAGATACAGATTCCTTTTGTTGTCATTGCACATACAACGAAATTGAATGCATTCCCACACTACGAATAAAACAACCATCGCTACAAAATTATTAACATAAGGTTTTAGATATAAAATGTGTAAATTATTGAATCTGTAAAACAATGTGAAAAAATATAGTACCATCACTTATTGTTATATTGCTCTCCAGGATATCGCAGGTTTGCTGAATTGCAGTGGCCCTGTGTACAGGTGGTGCAGTTGGGAATATATATATACTCACAAGGTGCAGCTGAAATGCAAGTTCAGCTGTCAAGTTGAAGTGACATACAACTGACCCTGCTATTTAATTTAAATGATAATACCTTAATGTACCTAATGCATTAGGTATTCACATTGTACATTATTGTTTATGCCACCCAACAGTCATTACTCGTAATGCTATTTATGATATTTATAATGAGCAAAAGTGTATTAAAGCGAGTCTAGTTTATTCAATTATATGTCAGTATGCTTGCTATGGGATAATATTGACCTGTACTAAATGACACGAGCTGCCTTTGTGATTACATTTTTGTGTGTCTGTGTAGAAACTGAAAAATACAGTCTGAGAATTTCAAATATAGTCATTATTATTCTAAATATCCATATTCTCTGAAATAAAATACATCCAATTTTAGAGGCCTGACTTAATTGCAATGTCATCTGTCTTTCTGTATCATGTATGTGGTATTTCCCCTTTAATAAAACCTATTGTAATATTGAAAAGTCTTTGTATTTTGCTGTAGGATCAGTTGCCCCTTATAAAATGTTAAGTCCATCTGATATATTATTTGTAGATACAATTAAAGATTACATGGCAAATATCCCTTTCTACTCCATAGCAATCTAAATAATATTAAATGTACAGTCTAAATCTCAATAATCACATGTTTAACTGGATATATCTGGTGCTTACATTATTACTAACATATTCCCCAGTTGACCATATATTTTGCCAGTACAATGTCCAAAACATATCACTAGGTTATACCTTGTATGATGTTTCTGGCATATTTGTTTGAACTGAATTGTTTTAAATCAGTGTCTGCTAAGAATATAACTACATTGTCAAATGTATCTACATGGCAACTGTATTTATTATAACAGTATTGTAGTATCCAATACTTATGCATTTGACTCATAACAGTTCAAAATAGCACTGTAGCAGCAAGACAGAGGGTCAGTGACCTTTGGGGAGGTGTTCTACGGGGAGAGCAGTGATTGGTGGTTATGTAGGTTGAAGGGACTGAACCCTTCTATAGAATTTGACCTCTAACCCCTTGTTTTGTTACCTCAAAATAGTACTGTACCCTTCTATGGGTTTGACCTTTTACTTTGCAGACTCAAACCCTTCTATGGTACCTAACAGATACCTAAACATATCCTATATAAGCTATGTTTGATGTACAGAGAGACAGAGTGGTCATCAGGCTGGGTCACTCTCCAAGCTGCTGCAGAGCTTTTAATTGATGCTGAACTCTTCGACTTAATAAACTTTTATGATCAAGAACAGTGTCAAGCGGGTTTCTTCTCAACACATCATCGCAGCATTATTGTTCGGACACCACAGTATATATATAGATCATTTTAATATTGGAGAACTGTAGACTTTCTAGGATTTTTTAAGGAGAAACAGTGGTGTGAGGTTCTTGAACCTGTCTCTACCTATTTAGGCCACGCTCCAGTTGTTTGACCTAGGCCTATATATAGCTAGAAACACGTTATTTATCTATTTGGCTGTCAACGACTCTTAAATATCATGTACACCGAGGAATTGACCTCTACAAGACTAAGTGCCTCCTTCAGCGGACTTTTACGTTAAAGAAAAAGTACGAGTCTGCAGCAAACAGGAAGTATTATTTTGGAGGTATAAAGCATATGCCGCGTTCGAGACCGGTCGGAACTGGGTAATTTCCAAGCTTCTGTCTTCCGACCTCAAAGCTTTCCAGGTGCATGATGCCGAAAGTGAACGAAAACCATGGCTGACCATGACAAAGTGCACACACAGTTGCACCCTCAGCAGAGTTTTAGGTGTTACTTCAAAGGATGGCAGTTTAACTGCAACAACTGACATAAATAGCCTATACGTTACTAGTTAACTGTGTACCCCTCTAGCTACATCAGTTGGTAACCCTCAAGTCATTCAGTGTTGTAGGTTACACTTCCTAATGTTTTGGCATTTTTAACAATAACTTTTATGCAGAGAAGATGACTTTATGAGAGTCTTTACTGTAGCCAGCTACCTAATAGACCTAACATATTTCTACACCAATGTACATGTATAACAGGTTTTACTATATGATCGTATATGTATTATTTTAAATGTACTTTTTGTTGCCTTTTAGTTTATCGTTTACCATTTACAGTGTGTGCTTCCATGGGAGCTGCCATTGTTTTTCTAGTTGGAGATCGGAAATTTCCGAGTACCAAGTCGCTTGGAACGCAGCAATAGACTGTGTATAAAAGAGTCCAAAGACGTAAAAGTCATCCTCCAACCAATCACAGACGGTCAGGGAAGTTTTACCAGGATCTTATGTGACGGACGGTACTATCAGCCAATGAAATTTGAGATTGCCATCGCTTTGACCACTCAATCTGTTGCGAACACGAGAACGAGGGGAAAGCGACCGGAAGTTTACAAACATTATCCGAGGAAGATACGATTAAGCTAACGTTGTTCATTTTATTTTGACCAACGAAAAGCGACGGTTTAAACGAACAAAGAGAAAATATGGTTTGTGAAAAATGTACGTATGATACTGTTCAAATGATTCCTGTCTTCAAATCTAACCTAAAATTTTGCTGCTAACGAAGGCTGGAGATTCAGCACAGCTAACGTTGTGTTATGCTAACTGTTTTGATTCCTCTACTCATTGTATGGGTTTATGAACACCGACCCTGCTCTTTAGACTTTAATGTAATAACGATTTTTGTGTTACTTCTTATTTCAGGCGAGAAGAAGCTTGGTAAAGTCATCACACCGGACACCTGGAAGGATGGAGCCCGGAATACAACAGGTGAACTGAGGACAGAGGTTCAGTGAAAATGTGGTTTTATCATTAACTATTGTGCGTAAACCGTATTGTAATTCATATCGTTATATAGCTACATTGGGGTCAGGTTTTATAATGTAAAACTACAGCATCATTCGAGACAAACAAACAAACAATAGTGGAGTGGCAAAGCCTACATATTTAAAAGTCTCATCATAATTAATCATGTTACTGAAAAATTCTCTGTTCAAGGCTACTTTGAATATGCTGTTAGATGAGAGCAAAGTGAATTTGCATTTGGGTGGATACACTAGAAAGAAAATGTGTTTTTACCCATCAGACACTTAAAAAGAAACAATATGAAAAGTAGTAATACCTCTTGTAAAATAACTATGAGTGTCTTGTTATTTTTAGCTTCAAATAGCTTGTTTTGTTCAACAGTCTAAACCCCAAAGATATTTAATCTATACTTATATGAACAGATTAAACAGTGTACATATCAAAACACTAATAAAAAAAAATATATATATATATATATATATATATATAATACACAGAAACCACTATAGGTTAATGGCTACTTGCCATGTGCCTGCAGACATGTGGTAGTATTGTGTGTAGTAGTTTCTGACAGAATGGCAGGCTGTTTTTCAAAACAATCAGGACATCACCTTTAGTTTCGGTATGTAATGTTGTGTTCAGCAGTTTAACGTGTAAAAATAGATCCTTTTATCTCTCTGCTCCATTCTGTGCACTGTGATATATTTAGGTTGCCATGTCAGGTGTGACTCTTTCACTTTAGATAAAACTTCCAATATAGGCGAAATTCTTAGCCTAACCCGTCTATTCTACTGTTATATCTTGCTGGCATGATGTTTTTATACTATATGCACATTTTGTCTTCTTTGTTTTTGATGTAATACAAAAATTTATCACTAATCAACATAATTTTTTGCTTCCAAAGTTCAAGTGATAACTGCTTTGATTACAAAAACAAGCTTGACCTCCCTTTTTTTTTTTTTTTTGATTGACACACATTTTTTTAAGCCCGCACTGGACATTAATTATGCCTTTGTTTTGTTTTTTTGGGATCTTTTAATTGTGACATACTATAATGTAATGTTCCTTAGATTATAATTTTTAATGAAGTTCCTTCTGCCTCATTCACTCAGAGGGTGGTGGACGCAAGCTCAATGAAAACAAGATGCTGACTGCTAAGAAAGCCAGGTGAGTATGCTAAAACCCTGGCTTTAAGTCAAAAGTTAGTTAATGTGACTCATCACTTTGTTTGTGAGACAATGTCACCATCATTGTCTCTATTTTTATCTAAAAAGAGTAAGTAGTTTTTATCGCCAATTGTTGCACATTTACATTTATCATGTCCATTTGTCCCTCTTAGGTTTGACCCTTACAGCAAGACGGGCTTTGCTACCTGCAGGATCTGCAAGAGCTCTGTTCATCAGTCTGGATCACACTACTGTCAGGGCTGTGCATACAAGAAAGGTATTAACTCACCCACACCGCACTACATACTGAGCCGAAATCCTGATGAGTTTTATGTTCCACTAGTGACCTAAATTGCAAGGGAAAAACATGCCTTCTCACTTGCCTCTGTAGAGGCAAGCAGATGGTTTTGAGTTTGTTTGGCCATGTTTTCAGATTTTTGTCTGAGATTTCAATGTACCTGTTACCCTATAAACTTCACACACCACACTGTGATCAGGCTCTATTTCTCAGTAGAAATGTATTCTATTGAAAACAGCTGACAAAGAGGTCTGTGGATTATCAAGAATCAATAGGATGGGTTACTTTTACAGGTTTGTTTGAATGTGGTGTGTTTGCTGGCACCATGAAGCGGATAGTATTAGCTACAGAAAATCAGTCCTTGTAAAGCTGCAGTGGAGACACAATAAACAGTATAAACAAATAAAGGGCAGGTCCAAGTACAGTGCATAATAGCTTCATTACCAAATGGTTACACAAACATGATGATGACTTCTGTGGACTGTGCCCAAATATAGTGATAGAGCAGTTATCAGTCGGACAAATAATGGGGCAGTTATCTGGCATTTTGATATAATCGGCATGAGCCAATACCGGCACTCATCATAAGGCCGATGTACAAAAAAAAAAAGTCTGTAGCCTTATCAGTGTGGCTAATGTGGAACAATGTTAGCGCTCCCTCTTGTGAGTTTTGTGAAGGTGGTGAAAATCAACATCTGTCACCAACCGCCTTTTTAAAATGTTTACACTTCTCTACTTGTTAACATTTTCTAACTGTTGAAATCCACAGCATAACTTGATCTATTTTTCTATTGCATTCATTAATAAAACTTCCATATGAAACAACACTTTATGTGGACTTCACCGTGGAAAGGTTAAACAGAAAAGCCACAATAACATTAACATAACAAACCGATGTTCAAGCACCATCTCCAGTTCATATGGTGCAGAGGCAGGAAGATAGTCACTGTGTATGTTTCAAATTTAGAGGACCTCACAATATACTTTTAGCAGCTTTTTACTGCTGATTATTTATATTTAACTTCACAACTGCTCTAAACATGCTGCTGTGTTTTTGAAATTTGAATGTATCTTAACTTTTCAGGCATCCATTGGTTTACATTCATTTTCATAGGGTAGAAAATCTGTCAGCACACTATAGAAATATACTGTTGTGCAAATCAAGTGTATTTCCTTAATAATATCCCAAAATCACAAACCTGTCTCAGACTGTCAATGTGAGGCTCCTTCTATTCTTAGACCCTTGATTAAAAAATGCACCTAAAAAGGGAGAAACCTCAGGAAAAGCAACAGAGGAGGGTTCCCTAGTCCAGGATGGACAGGCATTCAATCGGTGTGCTATATACAGTAGTAGGCAGAAGTACAATATGGAGAGACAGTGACACAGTTACATATAAAATGTACATAACATAATATTCTATTAGGGCTGTTCGATATGGCAAAAAATTAATAACCTGATATAGATCATTTCAATCTGTCGTGCAAGATTCAACCACAGCAAGTCAGCCTAAAAAATGCCAGTGACTCTGTTACTAGAAGGCATTTTCAACTGGAACTCGGATATTCCTCTGCATTATAAACGTGGGGTAATTGAGAACTTAGAAGGGAGAAATCCAACACCATGACAAATTATACCATGATAGAGTGAACAACGACACAGCAAGTAATGTAAATAATGTTAGGTAGGTTGTGGATTAGCAAACTGACGCTACTTGCTGCTGCAAAGCTAAGCCAATGTAAAGCTAACTTTTCCACGCTGCAAAGGTGAGGGAACGGCCTCACCAAAATATTACGGTAAAGTGTGGAATTTGCGACGCTACGATATAAACTATAGAGCATAATTGTAAACGATAGACGTTTTTCTATTGTCAAATGATATAGTCATATCGCACAGCCATGTATTCTATATATATATATATATATATAATATATATATCTGTTTTTGCAGCTCTAACATTGAAAATGGTTGCAGACTCGCAAGTTCCAAGAATATTATAATTGATTTTCATACTGTGCATAAACGTCTAAAAACAATGACTGCCTGCGAAGGTACAAAATAAATCGACCGCTATAACATGCGTTTAAAAATGGATCTGCAAAAATGTTTTGATTTGAAGTTTAGAAGCATGACCCAGAAAATGCCACTGGCATGGTTCTTTACATTTTATATCTTCCTTCTTCGGCTATGTTTCTTAACTTCTGTCCTTCTTTTTTGTCTCTCCAGGAATCTGTGCAATGTGTGGAAAAAAAGTTTTGGACACAAAGAACTACAAACAGACATCTGTGTGACAGCCTGTCGATCAGAGAACAGCTACAAGGATGAGACTGATGGTGCATGTTTGTCCTAGGTCACATTTTCAGGACAGTGTCCTGTCATAGACACCTATGACTCTTTACTGTTATTCTTCCCACCTTCGTGAAAGAGAGAGATTTGGAGGTGGCTTTGCCCTCTTATTATATAAAGCCACTGGAACTATTAAAGTGGCCATACCACCAGTTATCACCTGCCCCTCAAGTTGAGGCTTCTAGATTTTTCTGTATATTTTAAATTCAATACTTAGACTTGGATTCTTTGCTTTTTAAAAACAGATTTCTGTATGTAATATATGAAGTGTTGCATTTTTGAGTGAATTAAAGCATTCAGTAGGAGTACATTTGACAGGATTATTTGTGCCTCTGCTTGAAGCCATTATGGGTATAATTTTAGCCTCTTACGCACAACATACCCATGTTTGTCCTGTATGGCTGTAATAATTGGTTTTCTCTTACATAATCAGATTTGGAAACTGCATGTTGCACAGTCTCCTCCCCCTGCATCATTGCTGTTGGAGATAGAGGTTACAGTTCATAGGTTGTTTGACATAAGGCTCCTCCTTTTGATATTTAAATGCCTTGCACTCCCTCAGGCCTTCAACCACATGTGCACACACTTGCTTATATGTCTCATTGATTTATGCTGTTGTACCACATCACAAAAACAGCACTAGTCTCCAGCTAATACAAATAATGTATGGTAGGTAATGTTTGGATGTAGCAGATGAGCCAGATGTTCAAGCCAGTTTATTAACCTGAAATAAAAAAAACAATCCACTTACAGTCCAGTTACAAGTCTGCAACTATAACTGATTATGTAATTCTGGATCCTCTAGTTTGCTTCTTATATCACTGCCTTTTTGCATTCAGGGTTATCGTTATAATATCCCAGTTTATACCTGTTAATACGGCCAACTCTATAGAGCATTTAGTGTTCAAATTAGAATGTACTGTATAGTATATATACTGCAGTTTGTATATGTAGAATAATGTATAGAAATAAGTGTAGTTTACCATTTAGGACTTTTTAGGGATGGAAAAAATGGTCGGTTTACCACTTTGCTTCAAACTGAAATATTTCAACGAAAGTGTGTACAGAGGTCCGTGATCACCAGAAGGCGAAGATCCTACTGACTTTGGTGAACCCCTGACTTTTCCTCCAGGAGGTCAAAGTTTTCCCCCTGTGAAATATCAACATGATGGGTTTACACAAAATCTCGTACAGACATTTATGGTCCCAATAGGATGAATTGTAATGTTTCTGTGTGAACACACTACATACTCTTAGAATTTGCATGTAGTATGAAATCGAGACACTGAAATAAACACAACACAGAAACCTTTCCTTGGCCGTTAACATCTTTTTGACATGCACAAAGAAAGATCAACAACTTTCATATTGTTTAAGCTAGTTTATTTAAGCACAGTGATCATTTTTATACCATCTATTCAGGACATCATTTACTCTACTCTTTGGACTACAGATATAATAATTTTGATTAGTATCTTAAAAATTTCATATATTACAAAGACTATAAATGTATTTATAAATTACTCAAAGTTCATTAAATCATTAAAATCCGTGGATTCTAAATATGATTATAAGGAAAAGAAAAGGTGTTAAGAGTACCACTTTGCAATAGCACCAATGAAATTCCCATCAAATAAAGTGACTGAAAATCTTAACTAATGTGGCATTACATTTCACTCAGGTTTCACATTTTATGTAGTTATAAAACCTGTAGTTATGAAACCTGAGTGAAATGTTATAATGCCACATTAGTTAAGATTTTGCTTAAAGAATGTGGCATTTTGTTTTGATATTGCCATGTAAGACTATAAAATATCTACCAAAGGCACCAAAAATGTGTCTCTCATTTCCTATAATGTTCACAGTGATTTCAAATGATAGATTTCAGCAACAGGATTGAAATCTACCAGGCATTTTGAGGTGAGCTCCAGAGTAGGCTTGGATACAGCATCAAACAGCAGCTTTGTTGTTTCCAGCATGTTTCCTGCTATTAGTTTTTGTTTTCTTAAAGTAAAGTCAGTTGTGGATGCACTGTTACTCTAGAGCTTTCAGTGTGCAACTGTATAAAGAGGCTTTGGAGTGAATGGTGTATGACATTTGTTAAGTGTGCTTTGAAAGGGTCAGGAACTCCTCCCGGGTTTTGGGGTCTTCGAGGTAAAGTCCCACCATGGCGCTCGTCATTGTGCGGCTGTTCATCTTCTGGACGCCACGCATGACCATACACATGTGCCTGCAAACACACACATGGCTCAGATTTGCAGCTGCAGCGTTTGACATGCTTTGAGGAGGGTCTTTGACCTATAGAACATGTGTTCAAAGGCCACAATTTTACACATCAAAGTCTGTTTAGGGGTACATGTGAACAAATGTGTAAAGTCAGTGTCAGTCAGGGTTTAATTAAAAATGAGCATTCAGCAACCAAAAGCAAGTGCTCGTACCAGATAAGGTAAGGTTGTACAGTGTATCGATTCAACCAGGAATGCGTTTTATTGCTTATGAATTCAACTTTTAATTTGTAAAAGGAAAAACTGTGTTAATTATTTTAATGGTTGCACAGAGTACATGCCAATTCCCATAATTGCATCCACATTTCCCTCACTTGCGTCTTTTCCTTGAATCTTAGTCCCTCCCACAAATGAAACTATAGTTTCTACTCGACGCACAGGAATTTCCAGGCTCACGAGACTGAAGGGAAATGACAATTACAATATTGCTGGAAGACAACAGGCTCCCCTTCTCTCCCAGACAATAATATTATCCATGATACCGATTCAGACACAGAAGAGAAATCGTTCTCTTCTCCTTAATGAATGAAGACGGTAGTGGTTCTTTTGTGAATCGACCTACACAAACACACAGTTTCATTGCTTTCAACTATATGAAGAATCAGCAAACAGAATCTAAAACCTAAGAGTATTATACTTGAGCTGGTTCTGTTATTTGTCAATTATATTAAGTATAAAACTGCAGTGATGGTGTGGTGTGGGTTCAGATCAGTCACTAACACATTTTGCAATAAAGGACTGTGTCAGTCCAGTAAAAGACTGCTGCCAAAGTTGGTCTTGTGTATCCTCATTCATGTCTTCTCAGAGCATAAATTAGAGCCTTTGTAATGGCCTTCGTGATGGCAGACTGGAATAATTCTCGCTCAAATAAGGGAAATGGCTTTATGGTAACATTTTTACATTTTGCCTGAGGTATCAGGACAGCTTTAAATCATACAGATGATGATGAAGAAGGTGGTGTGTGTACTTACACTGCTTCAATAATCACAGCTACACCTTTTGGCTGCAGGGCCTCTGATATTCCCATGGCAATCTGCTTGGTCAGACGCTCTTGAACTGAAATCAAACAAAAGTATGGCACACATGTAAACATGATAACACCAGACTGCATATAAACTCTTGGTTAAACTGGAAGAAAAGTGCTCTGACTGTATGCAAAGCCTTTTGATATTGCGCAGTGTCTTTGGTCGCTCACCTTGGAGCCTCCGACTGAAGAGCTCCACAATCCTGCAGAAACCAGAACATAAGCAAAACAGAGAGGTCTGATTATAGATCAGACGTAATAATGATTAATCATTTGTTAAACACAGACTGGCATCGGTCCCTGACCCGCGGCCTCTAGTCTGGCAATCCAACTGTACAGACCCTTCATCTGTGAATGATTCACCCTACAGAACTCTCTGAATCAGTCGTGCAAGATTCAACCACAGCAAGTCAGCCTAAAAAAAACCAGTGACTCTGTTACTGGTATTCTGGGTTTGTATGTTCAGAGATGGTGTGATATTTTAGGAAAGGGAGAGGAGACAGACAGAGAGGCTGTGAAAATAAGTGCTGATTCCCACAGGTCCGAAGGGATTTTCTCATGGCTCGAGAGCGGATAGAGTTTAGATTTGTGTCTGTGAGTGTGCTTGATGAGGGGACTAGATGATGGCCATTGGGCTTAGACTTAAGCCTCCAGGTCAATGCACTGACATAACAGAAGAACGCTGCCACCCGGCACTAACACCAGAAACATACACCCACAGTGACAGCACAAGGGTATAATGTGTGTGTGCATGCGCTGTGTTACCTTGCCAGCTTGCTTAGTCCCACCACTTTTTTGTTGGGAATGTACCCGATGTGAACCTGAAGAGAGATGGCAGCCAATGAAAGCAGAGGTCACATTATCAGAGTGAAGGAAGGTAAATATTAGCAATTAAATTCTGACACTGACCTCACAATCCTTAGAAACACACACATACACAGCACACATCAGCTCGTAAGCAGAAAAACAAGACAGTGACACCCACATGCATGAGCCTGCACAAATACAGTGTTTCAGGCAAGGGCAGACTGGCCATTGGGAGGACCGGAAGTTTTCCGGGTGGGCCACAGGAGAATTTGGCTGATAAACCACATAGTAATAAAACAGAGACAAACAACTGCAGTTGAGAATCGATTGGATCAACTGGCAAGTAGTGAGTGGTTACTGGCCAGAATATAAAGAAGTGGTTGAAACGTGGACCTAACCCCTAGCCCAATTATTTGTGCTTCAATGGATAAAAACTTTAGAAGAAACACAAAGGTGGTGCTAAAAAGTTAAGGGAGAAAAAAAGTTGCTAAGGGCAGGTGCAGTTAAAGACTTTTCTTTTGGTGCTGCTGCTACTTCTACAGCCACAAAGAGCCAGATAGGGGTTTGTAGTTTTGACTTTTTGTACTTTAATGGCTCATTTCATGATGTACTATACTTAAATAAAATTCTCAAGAATGCAGGAAAAAGGTATTTAAATCCCCATGCTTATTTTGAAGAATGGGTTGACCAGGGACAAATTCCCAGGCCATTTATTTGCCCCAGTCCACCCCTTGTTTCAGGCCAGTTATTTGTAATATCTGCTTTCAACCCAGAAACACACTGTCTTTACACTGTCTTTAAATCCCTTACAGTTGGTATGCATAAATACACAGACTTACCTTGCCATAAAAGGGCACCAGGTGATGTTCACACAGTGAAAACATATCTATGTCCTTCACAATCACCATCTCATCGTGGTCTTCGTCAAATATGGCATCATTTAAAATGTCTAGGGGCACAAACACACATTAACATACTTTAAAGTATCATCCACTTAAATGTTAGAATGTAGTGAAACATGCCCATAAATCCTATTGCTTTGTCCCACAAACACTCCAAAACCTAAATAAATTCAGTATTTCAGTAGAAGAAAATTGTCAACTCATGTCATCTGTGAAGCTGGAACTACTTAAAATTTGGCATTTTTTGCTTGAAAAACGTTATTTTTTGCACATTGACTAATCGATTAATTGTTGCACCTCTAAACTCTTGACATATTTTATAGCTGCTGTAATCTAACAGATTTATGAATATAATTATAATAAATAGCACTGCCATAAAATAATACAAATGTTCACTTTTGTGGAAATGACTTCTTTAGTTGTTTGTATTTTGCTTCATTATTATTGTAGGCTATATTAATCTGATCATAAGGTGTTCATAACATAGGGGTGGTAAACACATTAATGCCATCCCATGCAAATTTCAGCACTGCAAGACAGTGTGCAGAGGTTGTATATTTTTATAGTCACTCAGAGTTTAGTTTTCTCATTAATCGAGAATAAGATACAGTACGATAGATGGGCCATATCACATTAATAACGGTATAATTACACAAGAGCATCTTCCATTGTAAAGCTCACAGAGAGAAACCTGTTGACTCACCGTGGATGTTCTCATGGTAGCCCTTGGTGAGGAACTGCATGGCCTTGGCGGCGCGTAGCGGCGTGCGCAGCAGTCCCTGTCGGTCCGTGTCCTCCCCGAGCTCGTGGAGGATGCTGGTGTAGGCGGCTTCGAGCGCAGGTAAGCGGGACTTGTTTTCCTCCTCTTTGCGGGACGTCTCGTGCTTGCGGTGCACGGAGGACTTCTTGGTGTCTACAGGTCGCCGAAGCAGTTGTTGCAGTGCAGCTCCTCCAAGGTGTGCACTTTCATTACAGTGGCAGTCCATAGGATCGTTTTTGACTCTGGAGGAAGAGAAGAAAAGGTGAGAGAAGTGAAGCTGAGTTAACCTGCAGGTCTGGTAGACTTAACATTTTTACCCGTGCTTTCCGGCTTATAAAGCCTAAAGCCACTGCCGCGTGCGCATCGGGTTCCCATTCGTCGAGGTGCCACCTACGTCAAAACATTTGGTTTCGTCAGCAGTGTTAAATTTTACGCAGAGAACCCCCTCCCAAAGTAAGTAAGACATCCGAATTTTCTGCATCTTATCACTTCAGCCTACTGAAGCCGATCATCATCCGTCTCCATTCATTAGTTCTGATTATGTTACTTTACCAGAAACTACACTGACCACTCTCATTCAAAGCTCATGACTTCAAGTAGAGCTCAGACATGATTTTTGTGCAGTTAGGCCTACACCTATTAAGTCTCTGAAGTTGAACTTCCATAAATCCAATCTTACAGAAACCATATCCAAATGAAATGCCTTGATAATCCACAAACAATACATGAAAAACACAATGTATTAAATCATAGATCAGTGTAGTAAATGAAGCTGCATTGTAGGCTATGTGGCCCTACTGTAAAATGTTTATTGTCTTGGCCTAATTAACGTTATATAGCGTAGCGTTATATTACTGTGTTACTCCCAGCACTGTACAGCATTATAAACAGATCTGTTAAAAACTGATAGTCTAACAATGGTGTAGGAAGTCGGAAATCAATTGGTCAATTACAGGTAGCCTAACTCACAGAAAAAAACTGGGTGGCTGTTAACTGAACTGCCTTATAGTTTTTACCTTATAGCTTCTGTCTGTTTTCCCTGTTGGTGTAAGTTTTGTGGTGATCTGTCTGCTTGTGTCTTTATTAGTTTATATTTCTTCCTCTGGTCTGTTATGTGTTCTGTAACCTGTGTTCCGTCTGTTCCCCCAGTTGTCACTTTGTCTGCCTGTCTCTCTCTGTTTTCCCTGTTGTCTCTCTGCCTGCCTCGTTAGCCTCATGCTCCTCACCTGTGTTGCTCCCGCCCTGCTTGTTGTCTGTGTGTATATATACCTGGTGTTTCTGGCTGTTTTTTGTTGGGTCACTGTTTATTGTCACCCAGTGTTGTAGTGTGTTCGCCTGTTGTCAGCATCACTTGTTGTGTCTCCCTGTTTCCCTGCTCGTTTTGGTTTTCTGTTGGACAACCTTTGTTTTGGACTTAGTCTATCAGCCACTCAGTCTGTAAGTGTGCTCGCTTTTTGTTTCCATTAATAAATTCACTGAACTGTACCTGCCGGCTTTCGTGTCCTGCATTTGGGTCGTACTACCTGCCTCCACACCACTGAACGTGACACACCTACTACATCCAATAAGCAGCAGGAGGCTCGTCATCGTGGCATCTATGGTAATTGTACACAGTTTATGGGTACAATAAGAAACTGTTGAGAATACAGTTATAGGGGATGGTTGTACTGGTTTTCTGTCTCAGCATAACTTGAAGGAATTTTGTGTTGTGCTAAAGCCTTCTCACATTTGGCACAAAGTACCCTTCCTTGTCTACTACAAATAGAAATGTGTCCAACTTCACCAGCTATATTACAAGACGTTCCATTGTTACAACCTGCACCACTATCCGGTAAGTTGTAAACAACCTGGGGGAAGTTTTAACAATAAGAGTGAAGAATTTAAAATTAAGACCACACAACAAAATATGTATCTGAAAAAATGTATTGCACTGCTCTGCATTGTTCCAAAAAAATATATATATATACCGTCTCATCTGAAAATCAGTGTTTTGGCTGTAAATTTTGCATACTTCTTCACCCAGCCATGAAATGGAAGTGGTCATATATGTAATTAATCACATGACTCTGAGGTCATCCCTTCTAGGGGAAAGTGGTGCTTTTACAACTTTCCCTTTTCTACAACCATCCCCTGTTCTCTGCTAATACTGTGAAAACAACTAACTAATTTACCCTACAGTCAGAAGGCCTATTAGATGTTATAGAAGTTAATTGTCTATTCCCTTCTTTCAGGGCCACTTGGTCGTTGTCCTTTTTTTGGGATTTGTTTGCTTTTGGACTTTCTATCTCGGTTACTAGACTTTTCTGCTCCTTTGGTTTTTGTTTGCTGTTGATGAACTGCTGTTTCTGGTTGGGTCCAATCCATTGTGTTCTCTGTGCTTGACTAAACGTGACATTTTAGTGACCTAATGATTTCATAAAACATCATACTAAGTTCAGTCCCTAGCCTATTAAACCTTAAGTCTGAAGTGAATGTCGCAAGGAACATTTCCTGAGCTCTGATGTTAAAATAAAAGATTGCACTTTAAATCGAAGACAGTGTTTAATTTGAAAATGGAGTTGAAAATCAGTTGTTTTTTGCGGTCAGTTCATGGATGTATAATAAGACCTTATAATTCACCCAAAAATCAGTTAGTATTACTATATTTAGATTTATAGTTCTGTTTTCCCAGAATGCATTGAAAATATACAGTAATATACTGTACACAGTTTATAGCTACAGAAGGAAAGTGGAGGCCTGGGATGTTTGTAACACTTTTTGTCTCTGCACCTATAATTTGCAAAACGTTTTGTGTTAGAATTCTCACATTTGGAACAAAGTACCCTTATTTGTCTAGTACAAATAGAAATTTGTCCAAATTTTCCAACTATATTACAGAATTAATTGTTATTTTTGTCCATGAAGTTCCATTGTTCCAACCTGCCCAGTAGTACTACTGTGGTAAGTTGTAACAAGAAGATTGAAGAATAAAAAAACTGAGACCACACCAGCAGGGATGGGGATCGATAATCGGTTCTAAAAGGACCCAGTTTCATCCATCCATCCTTCATCAACCGCTTATTCTGTGTACAGGGTCGCGGGGGGCTGGAGCCAATCCCAGCTGACATCAGGCGAAAGGCGGGGTACACCCTGGACAGGTTGCCAATCCAGACCCGTTCCAAACTTTCTCAAAACCCGAGCTTATAGATACTGCTATCAAGAGCAGGTCCTATAATGTAACGTTATATCATGAGTGTCAAATCTGATTTGTCAAATGAAAGTAAATTTTTTGACCAAAACTAATTCAAATCAGCTTTATTGTTTTGTGTCTGTACTATTGTAGATAACATTGTTTGACTTATATTAGATTGAAATGTAGTTTCTTAAGCAACATGTGATGCATTTTTTCCTTTCTTATTTCAAACCACCATGCTAATACAGCTAGCTAAACAATGGCTGACCGGGGTGAGGTAGTAGGCTGTAACACTTCTTTAAAAAAGTGTTAGAACCATCCACTATACATCCAACTGAGGACTTTCTTGATTTTAATATTTTACAGAGTATCCATTGCAATCTGGGCCCGCCAAGCCTGCACTCCAGGGTTACCAGCATTCATTTGTCAGCTCTGCTGTCACGATCGTGGTGTGGAGGCAGGTTGGAGGACACAGAGCGGAGCAGGTATAGTACAACGAAGGGTTTTAATAAACAAACAAAAGCGAGCACACTTACAGGTGAGTGGCTGAATAACTGAAATCCAAAAGTACAGGGAGACGAGACAAGACGAGACAAGACAAGACAGGCTGGTTAGGCAGGCAGAGAGTACACGCACGACAGACTGGGGGGTAACATGAACAATGACCGGACAAGGACAAGACAGAAACACCAGGTATATATACACAGGGACTAAAGAGCAGGGCGGGAGCAACACAGGTGACAGACATGAAAACAGAGAGACTAGACATGACAAGCAGACTATATAATAGATACTGGACACTAGACAGGACAGAACCCAAAACTCAACATACTAAGGCAGATACTAAACTCAAAAGTGCAACACAAAGGATGGCCAACCGGCAGAGTGTGACATCTGTAACCAGTACTCCCCATTCACATGTTGTTCACATGTTGCTGTGTGCACTAGATCTTTTCCCTAATCAGTCTCCATTGATGGAGAGGGAATAAAAGCGTATAGGCAGCTTGTGAGAAGTGCCGGTGCGCAAGAAAAAGTCCCAGTACGTCAAAGAGGAAAATATAGAGGTGCTGGTACTGCAAGCTCTAACTATCACTCTGATTAAGAATATACATACATTGACACACACCTTTTTTTTAGTTATATTTAAGGATGTACAACGATGTTCTTTGATTAAGTACATTGTAGTAGTAAGTATACTGTTAAGTAAGTTTATTCTATAGACAAATTTATATAAACATACATGCACATGAGTCAATCACACATAGTCTGGCACAGTGAGAGAGAAACGTTCTTTTATTTCACTATACCTGTTTATGTAGCATATCATATGGTGTGGCATCCAATTTTGCTTCTTTTGTCTAATTGTTACAACTTACCCCAGCATGTGTTACAACCTACCCCAGTATTGGGGTACCAACCTCAAATTGCACTAATAAATGTAGAACATTTTAAGGTATGAATGTAGTTTCTAGCTGAAAGACATGAAGATACTGAAGAATTGTGAGAAAGTCCCAAGTGTTGTGAAGACTTTACCTGAAATATTTAGAAAGGGGTATGAAGACTTGGAAAAGTTTCAAATTGGGTAATTAGTATGTGACATAAGGGTACCAACTCCCACTGGAGGTCCTGGCTGAGGATGGTGCCCAGGAAGTGTAATGACTCCACAGTGTCGACTGTAGAGGCACAGAGGGTGATTGGGGTAGGTGTGTTGCTGGGCTCTTCTTGAAAACCACAAACATCTCCACTGTCTGCAGAGCATTGAGGTCCGTATTGATCTGGCTGCACCAGGAACCCACATGGTCAGAGCCCAGTGAGGGTGGTGTCATCTGTACACTTCAAGAGCTTGGTGGTCTTACTACAAAACGCAAAAACCCACCAAAATTATTGCAAACACTAGCAAGCTAATGCTAATAATACTAATAAAACATCCACCCTGCCCGCCACCTCCAAAATATGAATTTCTTTATTATTTTCTTTCGTTTTTGTCATATATTTTTAGGCTTTAAGGCAAAGTTGCTTAAGAAAATGTTTTATTTGTATGGTTTTTGTGTATTTTGTTAGATTTATTTCTATGGATGTACAGGCAAGCCAAAAGTCACTATGTGTTGGTTGATAATAATAAGTTTAATATTTCAGTGAAATGCGAG